CCCCCCTTCAGTTCTCAGCACAGCAACGACCAGAGACAACCAAAGTTGAACACTGCAAGATCTGAGGGCCACAATTGGTCCTTTGGGAGACCCAGAGACTGTCTCCAGGGTCATTCGCACAAACTTTGGGGTGCGTATCACTGAATTTCAAGACTGGCATGGTGGAGGGTTGTGAAAGGAGAACAAATCCAGCCTCCCTCCTCGTTTTTGACCTGTGTGGCGAGCTGCCATCTTGACTTTTTGACCCCCGGTTCTTCTATCACAAAACCTGGAGAAAGGATGCCTGTCAGGGCTCCAGTAGTTACCCCCATTTTAACCATGAGTTGGATTTTCAAAGCTTAAAGAGGATTTATTAGGAGTAAACATGCTGGTGCTACCTGGGTGCAGCCGACACATCATTCACTGTCACCCTTGACCCTGGTTTCCCCACCTCCTGGGTGTATCATAATTCATATCCTCCAATGGGACACGTCCATAGCCCAGAGTCACCAGTTAGATATTTGCACGGCAGAAACTTCAGTCACTTAGTTACTGTCTTTGAAAACATTTATGGAATGCAATTTCGGTTTTGCAAGCTGCTGCACTGCTCCCCCCTCCTCTCTTTCTCTAAAACGACCATAGAAATATTGGATGAGTTGACAAAGCCAAGCCCACCAGTTGGGTTTACCTCCGTAGACCACACCAAACTGCCCGGAGCCCAAGACCTCATCCGGGAAGATCTGGTAGACGGTGGCGATGTCCTGCAATTGGACAAAGAAGTCACCTCTTGAGGTCACCTCCAAGCAGGTGAGGAGAATCAAGGAATGAGATCTAGAGGCAGAATGAATGGACACTCACCACGTTCTCCTGGATTTGGCTGTTGGACACGGAGATCCTCAAAGACGCTTGTCCTAGATGAGGCAGGACAAAAACAAACGAAAATTAACCTCCTCCATCTCTTCATCCCTGGAAGCCTTCAAGAAAAGACTGTCAGAAACGGTGTAGGGCCATGATGGCACGTATGTGACGGAAGTGGCACACAGAGCCACTTCTGCCGGCATGCGAGAGGTCGTCCAGAAGAGTCCTGCTGCGCCACAGCGCCCCCCGCTCCCGCCGCCGCCAGCCAGCCGATGGTCGGGTATCCTCCTCCCTTTCTGTTGGCAACTCCAAAACGGCCATAGAGTTGACAGGGCACTCACTGTGTGGGGGCTGCCCCTGGGCAGCCGGCACCCCCTGCAGGACGACGGGCATGAGGGCTTGACGGAGGGCCATCTCCCAGGCCTTGGCGTGTTCCAGGCCATCCCCGCCATGCTGGGGGTTGCTGGGGGCGCCGTTCTCGCCCACGTAGTAGGTGGCGTTGGCGGTGACGATTTCGAAGCAGTGAGGATTGGCGCCGGGTGGCAGGAGGGAGAGGTCCTGAGCCACCTCCACCGTCAAGATCTCGGACAGCGGGATCTCCTGGGAAGTTGGGAAGGCGGCGAGAATGAGGAAAGGAAAATAAACCAGCTCTTCCCCACCTAGGGATAGTCCTCGTTTAACGACCGTTGGCTTAACAATCGTTCACAGTTACAGCAGGCCCCCCTCAAAAGGTGCTTATGGCCTGGTTCCGAAGTTCTGACATCTCTCCAGCCTCCCCTGTGGTCACATGGACCATATTTGGCTCATTGGCAGCTGTTTGGAGCGTCCGGTGAGATTTACTTTTTTTGCATGCACACTAAGTAGATTGACAATGGCGATTAGAGAACAGGAAGAAAAAAATTATTATTATAAAATTTGGAATTTATTCCATGAATGGCTAGACAGAAGAGTCAGAAATTGAAATATATAATAATAGTATAATGTATCATAATTGATTCAGTTAGACTGAGTAAGAAAATGAATACAACTTAAGTAAAGATGAAATGTATTTTTGAAAGACAGTAACTATAATGTTAATGATAATAATTGATAAATGTGATATAAAATATCGATTAGAATGGTTATAAATATAAACAAGTAAGAAATATATGATATTATTATTATGTGCACAAGATATATGTACCCAACCGACACACCATTTGAACCGAAAGATGGATTTATTTGTCTTTGTTTTTGTTATAAAATAAAAAAAACTTTTAAAAAATGGGATTTATTTCCATTTTGTGGGCAAAAGCATCCATAGTAAATCAAGGGTTCGAGTGGAGGCTGTGGGAAATGCTTCAGTCTGAGCAGGGGGTGGAGTGGATGATCTCAAGGGCCTCCCACCCCTCCTCTGGAATACTCTATTTATTCGCCTCCTGGGCTGTGAAAGACCCAACGGCTTCTCCTAATCTGCTCACTTTTTCTACCCAAAGGTTTCCGATGGGAGAAGGCACCCCACCTGCTCCCAGTGCTCGGGCCAGGGGGTCTGGCTCCTGTCCTGGAGACCGCGAGGAGGCAGACAGACTCACCTTGTAGTAGCGGTTGCTATTGTTGTTCTGGAAGAGGGTGAGGCACTTGCTGTCCAGCCGCCAGTAATGACGTTTCCGCTGCAAAAGGAGACAAAAATAGAAAATGTTTGGGGATTGGGGTGGGGGTGGGAAGGAGAGGAAGGGGCTCTCTCTCGCATTGAAAGGCCCCCTCTTGGCTCAGCCTGCTAATGAACTTGAAGAAAAGTGGACTTCAACTCCCAGAATTCCCTAGCCAGCATGCTAGCAAAAAAAATAAATAAATTAAGATATGTGGATTACAATTCCCAGAATTCCCCTGTCCGCATGCTAGCAAAATTTATGATTTATAAACTACTTCTCCCAAAATTCCCTAGGAGGCATGCTAGCAAAATTTGTGTTGACTACAACTCCCAGAATTCCCTAGGAGGCATGCTAGCAAAATTTGTGTTGACTACAACTCCCAGAATTCCCTAGGAGGCATGCTAGCAAAATTTAAGATGTATAAACTACATCTCCCAAAATTCCCTAGGAGGCATGCTAGCAAACTTTAAGATGGATGGACTACAACAACTCCCAGAATTCCCCCTGTCTGCATGCTAGCAAACTTTAAGGTATATAAACTTAAAATTTTTCTCCCACAATTCACCAGGCAGCAGGCTAGAAAAAAATGGAAGTGGTGTGAACTACGTCTCCCAGAATTCTTCAGTTGGCCGGCTGTTGAACTGAAAGACGAGTGGACCTCAACTCCCAGAAACCCTCATCTTTTTCAATTGCCAAGCTTGAGAAACCATGCTCTAGAGCAGGGGTCTCCCACCTTGGCAACTTTAAGCCAGGAGGACTTCAACTCCCAGAATTCCCCAGCCAGCGTTGCTGGAGGACTTCAACTCCCAGAATTCCTCAGTCAGCTTTGCTAGGGGACTTCAACTCCCAGAATTCCGCAGTCAGCTTTGCTGGAGGACTTCAACTCCCAGAATTCCTCAGTCAGCGTTGCTGGAGGACTTCAACTCCCAGAATTCCCCAGACAGCTTTGCTGGAGGACTTCAACTCCCAGAATTCCTCAGTCAGCTTAGCTAGGGGACTTCAACTCCCAGAATTCCCCAGCCAGCTTTGCTGGAGGACTTCAACTCCCAGAATTCCTCAGCCAGCTTTGGTAGAGGACTTCAACTCCCAGAATTCCTCAGCCAGCTTTGCTAGAGGACTTCAACTCCCAGAATTCCTCAGCCAGCTTTGCTAGAGGACTTCAACTCCCAGAATTCCTCAGTCAGCGTTCCTGGAGGACTTCAACTCCCAGAATTCCTCAGCCAGCTTTGCTGGACTTCAACTCCCAGAATTCCTCAGCCAGCTTTGCTGGAGGACTTCAACTCCCAGAATCCCCCGATCCCTGTCCCCTTCCCCTCGCTCACCAAGGTGTCCTTGTTGCTGAAATGCACCATCCAGCCTTCCTTCAGCGCCGTGCTGGATTTCCGCGTTGTCTGGCGGACCGACTGTACCACACGCATCAGGGGGATGTACCCCATGGAGCTGAGGAGAGGGGGCAGAGGGAGGGTGGGGGCACAGGTCAGTGTAGTTGGGGGGCAAAAAGAGCAGGGACACTAAACACACACGCACACACCCTCCCAGTGGGAAAAGAAGACACCCCCCCCGCCCCAAGATGGGGAGCGGCTGACTGGAAGTCCTGAAAAATCAGAATTACCGACGGCTATGAAACTGGGAGAAGAGAAAGAGCCGTAATACAGATAAGTCCTTGATTTACAACCAGGGGTGGGATTCAAAAATCCCAGTCACCGGGCAGCGAACCGGTTGCTGGGTGGGCATGGCCACAGTGGATGTGGCCTACCAGAACTTCTGGTTCGGCCCTTTTTCACCTTCCCCGGAGGCTTCCCTCAGGCCTCTGGGAGGGCGAAAGCAGCCTCTCCCGGCCTCTGGAGGGTCCGTTGAAGCAGGAAACAGGCCCGTTTCTGGACTTCCAGAACTTCCGGTTTGGCCATTTTTTTGCCTTTCCCCAGACTCCGGAGGCTTTCCTCGGGCCTCTGGGAGGGCGAAAATGGCCTCCCCCGGGCTCCGGAGGCCTTCCGGAAGCCAGAAACACGCCCATTTCCGGACTTCCTGAACTTACAGAAGGCCCGTTTCCCCCTCCCAGAATCTCCACGTGGACCCTGCACTTACCTGAATCCAAAATAGGCCACCTGGAGACTCCTGGGAGGGAAGGGGAGGGATGGGCAGGGCCAACCAGTCGGTTCAACTACCGATTCAGAGAACCAGTTGTAAAGTTAACATCCGGTTCGCCCAAACCGGTCCGAACCGGTAGAATACCACCCCTGCTTACGACCACCGTTGAGCCCGTGAGCCAAGAGGATGGCGCACCCGGGGTCTCTGCCTCACCTTTGGGACTTCTGGAGGCTCTCCGCGTCTTCGTCCATGCGCAGCTCGTTCTCCGAATGAGACCCCGGGACGATCCCCGAATCGTCGGACTCGTCCATGAGCGAGTTTTTATCCGCCTCGCTGAGATCACTCGATTCTTCCATCGACACATCTGGGGGGAAGGAGAGGGGGGGGAGGGAATCCAGTGAGGCAAATCCAAACCTGATTCCCCAGGCGCATCAGGTTTCTAGTCCTCAAGGCTCAGGAAGAACCAGCAAATTGCCAGAGATCTGGTAATCCGGATGGGTTCCGATCGTGGGTACCTCGAAACGGTCAAACGAGGTACCAGAGAGGTAGTCCTCGCCTTACGACCACAGTGGGACCAGGATTTCCTGCGCTAAGCAAGACAGTTAAGTGCATCGCGCTCAACTTGATGACCTTTTTGCCACGGTCGTTAAGCAAATCACTGCCCTTGTTAAGCGAATCGCACGGTTAGAAACACTGTTCAAAGGTCAGCTTTGCATTCTTTGGCGCCAATCCAGCATCTGGTGTCCTTCTGCCCCTCCCGGGGTCCCAGTCAGGAATAAAATCCCACCCACCCCACAGCAAGAGTCTCCTCCTCCTTGCCCCTCCTGCAACATGAGATGTCTTTGGAACTCACCGCCACCGTTAAAGGATGCCTCTCCCAGACAATCATTGGGCACCCGGGTCGCACAACGCTTGTGACAGTTGAATTTGCAATCTGGAGGGGAGTTTGGGGAGGGGGAGGAGAGAAAAAAGAGAGAGATTAACCTGTTTTTCAGTGACCCCCCCCCCGCTCCCCGAAAGCCACTCCCTTCCCCTGTGTCCATGAAAAGGGGTGAACTAGAAGGCTGCAATGCCATCAGCCACCAGCAGGGGGAGAGCAGGAATAAAACAGGTTCTGTGTTAATGTATTGAAATTTAAGAGCTGACCAGTTGCTGTAAGGCTGATGCAATAAGGATGAATCAGCATAGCATGGGCATTGCCCTTTTAAGACAAAGAGTGGGTCTAGAGAAGATTTACCTCTTTAAGAGGTGTCTATATAAAGGCAGGCATTAGAGGGCGTGCTCTCTCTCCTTGTGTCCTTCTTCATTGTAGAGTTTCTCTTGTATATAAACCACTGTTAATTGTCTGTGCGCTGTGTGTTTTGCTCCTGGGTTGTCTCGTAATAGTAGTCATGTTGCAAACGCTCTGACATTCTGTAAGGCTGCGAATATCTGGTGGCAGGGAGTTCCCCATTCCCCCTCCTCACCTTTGCACTGCAGGCCCTGGCGGAAGAGCCCCTTCAGGAGCTTCTTGCAGTACTGGCAGACGGTGGGGCGGGTGTAGGAGTGGATGAGGAAGGTGTGGGGCACCTTCACCTTGGAGAGAAAGAGCTTGTCCAGCTCGATGGGGCGGCCAATGTAGGTGCAGGAGGTCAGGCGGCGGGGAAAAATCTCTGTGGAACTCCGGCTCTGGATGAGGCGGAAGGAGAAGAACAGGATCAGTACAGGGAGAGAAAGGGAGGGAGGGAGGGAGGGAGGGGAGGGGAGAAAGGAAGGAAGGAAAAGAGGGAGGTAAGGAGGAAGGAAGGAAAGAAAGAAGGGAGAAAGGAAGATGGTGAGGGAGGGGAGGAGGAGGGGAGGGGAGAAAGGAAGGAAGGAAAAGAAGGTGGTAAGGAGGAAGGAAGGAAGGAAAGAAAAAAGGGAGGGAGGGAGGAAGAAAGAAAGGAAGATGGTGAGGGAGGGGAAGAGGGAGGGGAGGAAGGAAGAAAGGAAGGAAAAAAGGGAGGGAGGGAGGAAGATGGTGAGGGAGAGGGAGGGGAGGGGAGAAAGGAAGGAAGGAAGGAAAAGAGGGAGGGAGGGAGGAAGAAAGATGGGGAGGGAGGCAAGGAGGGAGGGAGAGAGGGAAGGAGGAACGAAGGAACGCTGCCTTGGAGTGCTCCAAAACCGCTAGAAATTACTGAATCACAAAAGTGACACACCGATGAAGGAGAATTCATGCTCCGTCCCGAGCACATCAGGTTTCTAGTCCTCAAGGCTCAGGAAAAACCAGCAGAGCCAAAGCAAAGCCTCCTCAGGCCCAGCGGGTGTTGTCGGGGGGGGGCAGCCGGGGTTGACTCACCAGCTCGTCCGGGACGCAGGGCAAGGATTCTGTGGTGGACAGGCGCAAGGACTGCGAGTTGGCCAGCGAGGTGGACGAGAGGCGGCGTTTCCTGGCGCTGCTGCAGTTGTTGGGGATGCTGAAGGCGCAACGTTTGTGGTAGTTCAGGCCGCAACCTGAGGGGCGGAAGAGGCCAGGAAAGTGAGGAAAAAGTATTTCTTCCCATAATCATTTCAAATGCTCTGCCAGTAAACTTATATTCCCTACACCGTTCACTCTCTCACAGGCTGAGAGGGAATTTACAACAGCCCTGCAGGGTAGGCCAATGCTCAATTTTAGTGTTTCTTGACATAGGCAACTTTAAGCTGTGTGCGGACTTCAACTCCCAGAATCCCTCAGCCAGGAGCTGGCTCTGGAATTCTGGGACTTGAACTCCACCCAGCTTAAAGTTGGCCAGGTTGACAAACATTATTCTTTTAGGCATGTCTTTTAGGTCTTCCTTTCTGACAGTCCAAACATCTGGGCACATACAGACGTTTCAAGACCCTGAAAAGTCGTTTTTCCCACATGGAAAATAAAAATAAAGACTTTTATGAGAAATAGATTAGTTAGAACAACTAATCCGTGGAACAATTTGCCTCCAGAAGTTGTGGCTGCTCCAACACTGGAAGTTTTTACGAAGAAATCGAATAACCATTTGTCTGAAGTGGTGTAGGGTTTCCCACCTAGGCAGGGGGTTGGACTAGAAGACCTCCAAGGTCCCTTCCAACCTATTATGTTCTGTTCTATTCTATTCTTATTTATTTTATTTTATTTTCTATTCTATTCTATTCTATTCTTATTTATTTTCTATTTTGTTCTGTTCTATTCTTATTTATTTTCTATTCTGTTCTGTTCTATTC